TGTGAAATGCAGGTGAGGCAGATGGTAGGGACAGGGGTACTCACTGAGCATTCGCTGAGCACACAGTATGTATCTGATTGTCCATTAAGGGGGATCAGTTTAGCCTGGCTGTATCCTGAATGGACATTGGCCTCTTTTTATTCATTTATTTTTATTTTACATTCATGGGTGTTTTGTCTGCATGTATGTCTGTGTACCATGTGCATGCAGTGTCCACAGAGGCCAGAAGAGGGCACTGGATTCCTTTGAACCGGAGTTACAGATGATTGTGAGCCCCCATGTGAGTGCTGGGAGTAACTTGGGTCCTCTGCAAGAGCAGATGGTGCTCTTGGCCTCAACGTCACCACTCCATCTCCATTCCTTAGCTCCCTGGGACCTCAGTTTTTCTCTATGCAGAGCCCCCCCCCCCGATTGTTTTAGTGGTAATGGTGCTCAGGTGAACTCTGCAAGAGGGCTGATCTATCTATTCCGCCGCCCATTGGAGTTTCAGTGTGACTCTACTTACACTAGGGGTGGGTCCATCATTTTACTTTATATCCATGTCATTCACATGCCAGACTCCTGCAATAATTGGAGAAATGTACCCTCTCCCTGCTATCTGCCAGTCAATGTGCCGGCAGTCTGCATAGTGCCCAGCTGTTCATACTTCACTAGGGGGAGTTCTATGCACTGGGATGTGGGAAGAATCAACTTTCGTCCCAGAGAACAGGTGCTCCAGGATTTATATTGATTTTTTGAAAACTTTTGAAGAGCCCCCTCCAGAAACTTGTTCATTTTGTCTATAAATTTTCAGAATTTTGATACAGTGCTCATTTTTCTTACTGCTTATTATCTATGAGATTTATACGGATTTTTTCCCTTTGGTTCCTGATAATTTGTGCCTTCACTTTTTCATTTTTTCTTTCATTCACCTTGCTAAGGTATAGTCTCAGCAGTAAACCACCTTATATTTTTGCTGCTCTTTGTACATTTCTTAACTTTTTTTAAAGTTTCATTTATTTATTATGTATACAGTGGTCTGCCTGCATGTATCCCTGCAGGCCAGAAGAGGGCACCAGATCTCATTACGGATGGTTGTGAGCCACCATGTGGTTGCTGGGAATTGAATTCAGGACCTCTAGAAGAGCAGCCAGTGCTCTTAACCTCTGAGCCATCTCTCAGCCCCATTTCTTAACTTTTATCTGCTGAGCAACGGTAGTGTGTACACCTTTAGTCCCAGTACTTGGGAGGCAGAGGCAGGTAGATTTCTGTGAGTTCAAGGCCAGCCTAGTCTACAGAGTGAGTTCCAGGACAGCCAGAGCTGTTAACACCAAGAAACCCTGCCTTGAAGCCCCACCACCACCACAAAGCCACAAACAGAAAAAAACAAAACAACAGCAACAAAAATCCTTTATCATTTTCTTCTTTTTATTCTTCTTTGATTTACTTTGTGTCCTTGTTGTCTTCTGGAATAAGAAGAGGAATTGTTGTCTAGAGGAATACGCTTTCTTTCACATGTTTTGCTAAAATGTACTTTTAATATTTCTTGTCTGTTTTTTTGAGACAGGGTCTCTCTACATAGCCCTGGGTATCTTGGGACTCTATGTAGACCAGGTTAGCCTTGAACTCACAGAGAACTTGCCTGGCTCTGCCTCCTGAGTACTGGAATTAATGGTATTACACCAGGCCCTAAAAATAGGCATTTAATGTGATAGGTTTTCCTGCTTTAGCTCATCCTATGTTTTTAAAAAGATTTATTTTATGTGTATATGCACATGCCTGGTGCCTGAGGAGGGCAGAAGAGGGTGTCAGATCCCCTGCAATTAGAGTTGCAGGTAGTTGTGAGCCACTGGGTATAAGTGTTGGGAACCAAACTTGGGTCCTGTGCAGCTTTCACACCAGTGCCAGGGATCCAAACGCAGATCCTCATGTTTGCACAGCAAGGACTTTATTCATATGCTCCTATTTTCCATTTTATTTTTTTAAGATTTATTTATTTATTATGTATACAGTGTCCTGCCTACATGTGAACCTGCATATCAGAAGAGGGCACCAGATCTCTTTACAGATGGTTGTGAGCCACCATGTGGTTGCTGGGAATTGAACTCAGGATCTCTGGAAGAGCAGCCAGTACTCTTAACCTCTGAGCCATCTCTCCAGCCCTATTTTTTTATTGTAAACATTTTTATTGATTATTTTATACATATGGGTGTTTTGTCTGCAAGTATGTCTTAAGCATGCCTGGTGCCCAGGGAGGCCACAAAAGGACATCACATGCCTGAAACTAGAGTTACAGATGATTGGTGAGCTGCCACATGGATGCTGAGGACTGAACCCAGATTCTCTTTATTTAGCCATCAAGCCATCTTTCTAGCCTTTACTTTTTTGGGGGTGGGGTTGAAACTAGGTTTCTCTGTATAGCCCTGGCTGTCCTGGAACACAGTCTGTATGTAACACCACCGCCCAGTGTTTTTCCTTTTTTGAATAGAGTCTCACTATGTAGCTCAGGCTGTCCCAGAGCTAATGACAATTCTGCCTTAGGCCCCTGGACACGGGGATTACAGAGTGTGCTACCCACCATGCCTGACTTTCCCCTGCCTTGACTCTTCCTCATTTTTCTTTCTATGCTGCAGACAGAGTATTTATGATGATCTTATTTCCGTTTTCTAATCTTTTCTTCCTCTGCTTTGCCAATCTGCCTGCCAACCCTTCTGATCATTTAATGAAGACATGATTTGGAGCGTGTCTCCTAAAATGCCAGAAACAACAGTATTTGTAATTCCTTTAAGGAATGTTACTTCCTGATACATTAAGATGCAAAGTCTTTTGGTTTGAAATTCTTAAAAGAACAATAGCAAAAGTGATGCAGACTCTTCAGTGTGAGGGTATGAGGAAGTGGACAACGTGCCATTAGATGGAAGCAATCCTATTTGGCATCCTAGATTGGGTCCCTGAAGCCACTTAATTTATACAGTCAAACTTTAACATTTACAGATAAAAGCAGCTTTACCACTGCCCCTGAGATGAACATCTCTCAATACACACAGCTTTCAGGTACAATTTTAATGGTTTGAAGTATTATGTGTTAGCCCAGGCTAGCCTTGAACTTGCGACATAGCCAACGATGACCTTGAACTTCTGGTCCTCCTGCATTTGCCTCCCAAGTGCTGGGATTATAGGCATGTGCTATCGTGATCATTGATTATAGGCATGTGCTATCGTGCTCATATCGTGCTCAAAATGTCTTTCTCGAAGACATTTTTCACGGCATCACCCTCTTTTTAACACTAGCTAAGTCTCTGGTAGTCCGCAGAAACCCTGACATCACCTGGGATCCCACTGGGATTTTGTTAAGGGCTCAAGCCTTTTTGCTCAAGTCCTAGCATCTTTGCTTTTATTCCCCCCTCTAAATGTTTCATAAAGATATTTTGTGTAAGACCTGGACTTTAGTTTGTGTGTGTATGTGTGTGCTGTATGCATGTATGTGTACCTGTGCGTGTGCATATGGGGGTCAGAG